CTCCTTGCACATTTCATTGTAATATTTTACTTTGTCATCCCACGCTGCATTTTTAAATCTTCTGTTCATCTCTTCAGTATCTTGAATTCTTCCTTCTGCTTTGGCTTCTCTGTGCTCCAGTGCAATATTCAGAGTCTCTCCTGACATCCATTTTGGTCTTTTCTTCCTCTTCTGCCTTTTCAATGACCATTTGCACTCTCCAGATGATACCCTTGATATTCCTCCCACTGCTCATTTGGTCTTCGCTCGTTAGTGTTCAAGGCCTCAAACCTGTACCTGAGATGGTTCTGAAATTCAGGTGGGATAGACTCAAAGTCGTATTTGGGTTCCCGTGGATTTGGTTTAATTTTCCTCACCTTCGGCTTGAACTTGCATATGAGTAGTTGGTGGTCTGTTCCACAGTCAGCTCCTGGCCTAGTTTTCACAGCTGATACTGAGCTCCAGCGGTTCCTTCCGCAGATGTAATCGATCTGATTCCTATGTATACCATCCAGTGAAATCCATGTGTATAACCTGCGTTTATGTCTCTTAAAAAAAGGTATTTGCAATAAATAAGTCATTGATTGTGTAAAATTCAATCATTCTTTCTCCAGCTCCATTTCTGTCACTGAGTTCATGTTTTCCAACTGCTCAATCTTCCTTTCTGTTTCCAACTTTTGCATTCTGTCACTCATTATTACCAGTTCATCTTGTTTGCATGTTTGAAACTTGTATTGTGCAGAATAACATTGTAGTCATAAAAAAAAAAGACTAAATGCCTCCAAAGGCTGAGAGGATGTATGAATAAATTACTTTCTTATTCAACAGAATATTAGATTGCAATGAAACACATACACACCAGCATGAATAAATCTCAAAAATATAGATTTGAGCAAAAGATGGTAAGGTTCAAAAGAATATATGTAAGAAGACACCATTGATATAAAATTTTAAAAATTCTAGCAAATTCTACATATGCTTTTTGGATATGTAATATGACCATGAAGGAATGCCTTGTGATTAAAGATTGTAAATTAAGGATCATGGTTCCTTTGAGAAGGAAGTGAGGGTACAATCAGATAATGATAGTAAATCAGTTTCATCTGTGTTAATAATGTTGTTTTTATTAAGATACATCATGAATAGTAGATAATTAGTATCATACTATCCTTTTTATCCATTTTGTGTGTATCTGAAATGAAGGTACAATTTAAAAAAAAAAATTAAGGATCCTAAAGTCAAGAAGAACATATGTCATTGGACCCTTTGTATCAAAAGAAAAATTTTGAAAGCTCTCAGTTGTATCTCTTATATTTTGAACAAAATTATTCTGTTTCAGTAATATGACATAATTTCTTGATTGTAACTTTGTGTTAATTTTATGATCTCTTTAGCCTTTAAAAAGAAAATTGCTCTCGATTATCTCTCAGAAAAATGCATTCCATTCTATTTTTCAACACTTCAGCTACAATCACATGATGAAGAAAATTAAGTGTTACGTGAATTGTGTACTAAATGAAAAATCATCAACTTTTCTAATGAAGGTACGTTCCTACAAGTCCAGGATGGCTTACTGCCTGCAGCTGAAAGCCAGCCTCAGGTGCAGGTGTAGGGTGAAATAACAACAAGAGATTTACTATTTACTGATTTAAAGGAGGAAGGAATAGGAGTCTCCCAAATCTGCCTTCCTGTCTGGAGGCTGAGTGAAGGTGTTTATAAGAAAAGGATGGGGGTTGCATCTAGGTAATGGTCACTTCCCTGTCATGCTATCCAGTTCTTAATGTCGTCTTGAGGACAGTAGGCTTCCTCCTTTATACTGTTCACTGTTCTGTCCCAGGGAAAACAAGATGAATATTGCTATCAGAGCCCAAAGGGAAGTTAACTTTTAACTATTAACTACTGCAGCAAGGAGAAAACAAAACTCTCCTAGCAAATGCTTCTACTTAGAACAGAGCTAAAACTAATGCAAAGCAAAAAAAGAATACCTTTGTCCAGTCTGTTAATTTAGCAACTACAGATAGAAGATTTCAGCAAGACTTAACAGTGGTCAGGAAAAATTAACTACAGTAGGATATATAAAATAGAATTATAGTTATTCAGAAAATGTAAATGGTTTTATAGAAGAATGTAACAAAATGTTGAAATGAATGAATATTTAGGAGAATTAATTAAGTACTTAGATGCTTTTAGTAGTTATTTTTGTAACTTAAAGCCAAAATGGGGTTACTTAGAATAATTGATAAAAACATTCTTAGTTTTTTTAAATTTTAGGAAATGTAAAATTGGTACTTTTTTAAAAATTGGTTTTCATACAGTCATTCCTATATTATGTTTAATTCATATGCATTGTTTTATACATTCATATTATACTATAGTTACTGTTGATCAGTGCCTCCGATTACCTAGTTTGATCAAATCTCCATTGCAGCTTGCTTTTTACTATGCTCCCCCCCCCCAAGTGCATCCATTAATCTCTGTTCTGATACTCCTTGAAAATGAGATTGGTGTCTGTATTGGGAGTATGTTGAACCTGAAGATTGTTTTTGGTAAACACAATGTTGAGTCTTTCTGTCCTTGAACAGGGAATACCTTTCCATTTAACTAAGTCTTTTCTTGTTTCTTCTAGTGTTTTGTGGTTTACTTACACAGAGCTCTTGTGTCTCTAGTTAGGTTCATTCCAAAGTGTAAATCTTGTGGTTGGCTATTGTAAATGGTATTGCTTTTCATATATCCTTTTCAGTGTTTTCTTTGTTGATGTAGAGAAGGCCAACAGATTTTTTTTTATATTTTTTAATTTTATTTTATTGGTTTTTTTTAATAAACACTGGTTAAGACCATCTTAAAACTAAGAAAATGTAATTTATGCTCTTTATTTTAAATTACTTGATACTTTCTTACCTACTTTCATGTCCCATTTTAAGGCTGCAACAAAAGTAGTGGAAAGTAAAAGAGCAAGAACATTAAGTTTTCCAGAAAAACCTAATAGTAATGTTCTTGAAGTGGAAACTCCACCTAACTTGGATATAGAAAAAAGGTTAGTAAACGTATTGGTTAATAAAATTTTTGTGTGTTAGCAGTGTGTTACGTTTATGTAAATGTGAGGCTAATCAATTATTAAAGATTTATTAATGCATATATTACTAATGACTAACATTTGGGTATTTGGAGTACTATGGAATTACCTAATTTATGCAAATTTTGTTATATATGTTAATCAGATATAAAAAGTGTGGAAAACCTAATGTTTAAATAATAGAGATTATTTCATTTGCCGCTTTCAGAGTCTGTGCTCTGAAATGAGATTTCTCTTTGGTCTCACATGCCCTCAGGTTCCTCACTGTTCTGAGGAGTGTTCTGGCACTTTAAGATACTGTCATAGATCTTCTCCCAGGAAAACAAACCAATTCATTTGATAGCAACTAAAGAAATAATTATTCAAATGCTAACTGAAAGGAAACATGCTTTACCAGTCATACATATGAGAGACAGTAGTTCAGCCTCAGATTTTTTTTTCCTTTGGGAATATTTTTATTTTTTTAAAAAACAAAATTGAGTTTTCCTTTTATGCTGTCTGGCTTATAAAATTAACCTTCCTGAGGAAGATACTTTACATTAAAAATCTTTTCTAAAGACTGACCCTTGGGAGGTTGTGGTCTCTGTCAGCATTCCCCATGGACAATAAAGTTTTCCTTGCTTCACCGGAAAAAAAAAAAATCTTTTCTAGTGAACCTATGGTTGGTTGATTCCTTCTCTGTTTCCATCTTTATCAGGGAAACACTTGTGATCTTTGCATGATTCTATCTGGCAGTAGATAAAACTGTTTTCTTGTGAGACCATGGCTTAATAAATTTAAAGACCTCATCTTTGCTACATATATGGTGTTCAGAATTGGAATCTAGTTTGAATGAGCACTGCAGTGGTCACAGTTCAGGACTGTGATATAGTACCTACATTGAGGACATGACCTGCTCCTCACTGGTTCATTGTCTGTATTGATGTCTTATTTCTCAGAGACATTTTTCCAAGACCATTTTGAGAAGTAGTGATTTCATTTTTATTGATTCATTTTGTTTAGGAAATAAAAGTTTAATAAATATTAAGGCCTTCAACATTTTGGTCCTATCATTCTTGACTAGTGGAATGTTGTGTGGCTAACCTTGAGAAGAATGGTAATCCCAGCACACTTAATTGTGCTCATGTATAACCTATACTTGGACTGGGAAGTAGTAGTTAGTAAGACAGCATGGTTCAGGATCAATAAGGGCATTTGCTGCAATAGATCAAGGACTATAGTCTTCAAACTGGATTGAAGCACAACATCAAGAAAACAAAGATTCTTACCACTGGCCAATTGGCAGCTTCATGATTGATTTTTAATAGATTGAGACTCTTAACAATTTCACCTTGTTCAGCTCCACAATCAATACTCTTGGCACCAGCAGTCAGGAAATCAGTAGATGAATTGCATTGGCAAAGTCTGCTATCAGGGACCTCTCCAGAGTACTGAAGAGCAACAGTGTCAGTCTGGAGACTAAGGTGCACCTAATACAGACGGTGGTGGTCACAGTTACTTGCTATGCATCAGAGAACTGGACCATGACTAAGGATGATAGAAGAAAAATCAATGCCTTTGAGTTACTGTACTGGAGAAGAGTTTTTAACGTACCATGAACTGCCAGGAAAACAAATAGGTCTCTCCTGGAAAGGGTAAAACCAAGTCGCTCCCTGGAAGCAAGGATTTTGAAGCTCTCTCTCACATCCTTTGGGCACATGGCCAAAAAGGACCAGTCCTTGAAGGAGGACATCATGCTTGGCAGGATTGAGGGACAACACAGGAGAGGAAGACCCCAGATGAGATGGATTGACTCAGTGACTAGAGAAATGGGATTAAGTCTGTTGGAGATGGTGAGATTGGCTCAGGATAGGGCAGGGTTCAGAGCTGGTGTACATAGGGTCACTACAAATTGCAGGTGACTCGATGGCCCGTAACAATACAAACAAGGCCTACAACTTTTTGGTTTAGCTTTCTTGAGTAGTTTAATGCTGCTTTAAATAAAAAAGCATTAAAATAACCATAAAGAAAGGTATAGGTTAAATAAAAGCATGGTTCTTGCAAATAAAGAATAAATTTCATATACCCTCCTCTTCTGCTTTAGTACCACTAGTTGCCAGAGTAGATTCTAAGTTCTGGCCATCATATGTGTGAAAGATGGTTTATAAGGCTGATTGTTTAGAGCTAAAGCACCAGGTGTCTCTTCTGAAATGCCTCTGGATAAGCTTGTACCTACTCCTTTCTGTTAACAGCTGAGCATATTAACTTTTTGTACTACACTCTTAATACTTTCTTAGACACAAGAATATCAAATCAATTATTGTGTCTAAAATGGCACTTTTAATGTTATTTCTTTCTGTACCCTGACATTAATTCTTTGCCTATGTTCACTTGCCTCTGTGCCTGATGGATTTTATCTCAGAAAGGCCTCTAATCTCTTCTTTCTGACCATTTTTACTCTAGATGAATGTATACCTTTATACCACGTCAACCTACCTTTGACATACTTCCAGAGTTAGATTCCCACAAAAATGAATCTGTTTAAATAATTTCTCATCTGAATACCTCTGCTGCGTATAAATGATTAAACGAACATGAGTATGTCTTATAAAACCTTCATTCAAATGAAAAAGAAAGCTCAATCAATAAATAAAAGAACATGAATTTTAAAAACCAACCTCTGCTGCTTTCCTGTTTCTTACTATATGAATCATAATTAGTTGGCGTGACTTTATTAAAAAGCTTTCAATAGCCATATCTTCACCTCTGAGCATTACCACTTCTTTGTCCCCATACAGTAGTGCTTTCTAACCACACAAAACCTCCCTGATTTTCAAATATTAGATGCTTTTCATGTCTGTCTACTCTTATGTAGTTCTTTCTGATTTATGTTCCCTTCCTTCTGTTTTCTCTAACACAGACTCTTTAGTAAATTCCAGCTCAGAGATTACCTCCCAGAACCCTTGTCCGGCTCCCCATTTAGAGTTGTCACTTCTATTTTTTTTTTTAAGACGCTAATTCAGTGTCATTATCAAACTCTTACAGTTAACAATCAGTAGCATGGGTGAAAAAAAAATAGTATCTACATTAAAGCCCTTTTGTTTTCAGAATGCTTTACACATTCCACAGAACAGAAACAAAAATAACCTGTTAAACAATTAGTCACAAATACAGGCCTTGTGTTTTTTGCCCATCAACATGAGTTTTATCTAAAACATACTTTCTTTGTAGCAGCTAGCCCCTGCCACCACTGTGCTTGGCTGAGTTCACAAATCTCTTGTACCTGTCACTTCTCCAGCTCTTGTCTCCTACTATGCTTTTCTTCCTGGCAGTTATTAAATCTGCCAATCGCTGCCATAGCTGCTGCTGCTGCTGCTGCTTGAGCCACCAGAGCCACTTTGGTTCGTGGTTTGGCAAAATACTGACCTCCACTTCCATAGGGGCCAAAACTGCTGATTGTAGAGTTTGCCTTCATGGGTCCAAGCTTTGACAGTTGTTGTAATTGCCAACATCATTGTAGCTACCACTGCCTCAAAGTTGCTTCCATCATTACCAAACCCATTATAACTATCCCCACTGCCTCCATATCCTCCCCCACCACGGCTGCTACCAAAACCACCTCCACGGCCACCACCAAAGTTTCCAGAACCACTTCGACCTCTTTGGCTGGAAGAGGCACTGGCCATTTCTTGCTTTGACAGGATCTTTTCTTCACAGTTGTGACCATTCACAATATGGTATTTCTGAATAACTGTTTTATCTACAGAGTCATGATCATTGAAAGTGACAAAAGCAAAGCCCTTCTTCTTGCACTTGCTCAGTCAGTCATGATTTCAGTCACTTAAGTAATGTTCTTCAGAATCTCCTTTAATTCCACTAACAAAAGTTCTTTTTCACAGTTAAGGGTTCCCCTGGTCTTGAGAATCTTCTCTTGAAAAAGCCTTCTTAGGTTCCACAACCCTTCCGACCACCTTGTGTGGCCTTGCATCCACCTCTGCCCTAGTAGAATATGTGACAAACCCAGAGCCTCTGGAGCACTTGGCAGTTGGATCTCTCATTACCACACTCAGTCCGTGAGCACCCTCCACTGCTCAGAATGGCCCCTCAGACATTGTTGTGTCATTTTAAAGCTCATTTCTCCAGTGACAAGTTTACGCAGCTGTTTGGGCTCTTTAGGAGCCTCTGACTTCAGCAAAGCAGCAGTGGAAATAAATAATTTAGTGATACCTCTTTGGCAGCATTCTCTGGCAGAAAGTTGGAGTTGTCACTTCTGTGTTCCTCCAGTTCTGACTCAACATTATAAAGGACATGTGTAGTTGAAACCAGCCTGCTCCTTAGAAGCAAGGATTCTGAAGCTCCATCTGACATATTTTGGAGATGTTGCAAGGAGAAATCAGTCCTTAGAGAGGAACATCATGAATGCAAGGGTGGAGGGACAGTGTGAAAGAGGAAGACCCTAGATGAGATGGATTGGCTCAGTGACTGAGGTAATGGGAGTCGGTGGGTCAGAGACAGTGAGGTTGGCTCAAGATAGAGCAGAGTTCAGAGCTGTTGTTCATTGGGTTGCTGTGAGTCATAGGCAACTCAACAGCATATAACAACAATATGAATTATCCATTTGCCTATCTGCATCTTTGACCATGCTCATGCTCTTCACTGGATATAATGCACAGGGATCATATTGCCTACGTCTCTGCAAAGAGACAATAGTAAAGCTGATATCAGTCAGAGCAAGGCCAAGGGCCAGATGTAGAACAGACCGTCAGTTGCTCATATGCAGATTTAAACTGAAAATGAAAAGAAGTTCATGAGGGAAAATAGAACCTTGACTATATGCCATCTGAATTTAGAGACCATCTCAAGAATAGATACAGTAGATGTCAGACTGAAATTTGACCATCTTGAATGTAAAGTAGATAAAGGAGATGGAAGAAATGTTAAAAAGATCTAAACAAATGATTTCATAAGTAATTTGAAAAAGCAAGATAAAGTACTTTGATGAAATACACAGACTAATATTAGAAAACCGAAAGAGAATACATCATCGGCATTTCTCAAGCTGAAAAGACTGAAGACAAAGTTCAGACCTCAAGCTGCAGTGTTGTAGGATTCTGTAGCAAAATACCAAACACAGGAAGCATAAAAAAAGAAAAGATGGAAAAAGATAAACTGTCACTGTACAAAAAAAAAAAATTGGTAATCACATTCACCCATTTCAGGAGGTAATGTATGATCAAGAATGACTTGTACTGAAGGAAATTTGCCAAGTTGCGCTGAAGACATTGTAGAAAAACGTGACTCCAGGAATTGACAGCATTCCAACTGAGATGTTTCAACAAATGAATGCACTATTAGAAGAGATTCACCATTGAGCCTGTTTCAAAGAAAGATAACCCAACAGAATGCAGAAATCCTAGAACAGTACCATTGAAATCACATGCAGATAATACCTTATGGAAGTTAATGTTTAAAATGATTGGTACATTGACAGAACTAACAAAAATTTGAGCTGGATTCAGAAGAACACCTGGTACAAGCAAGGCCACTACTGATGTCAGATGAATCCTTGCTGAAAGCAGAGAATGTTTACTCCAGTTTCATTTACTATGCCAAGATAAAAACTGTATGGATCATAATAAAGAATATGTAAATATTACAAAGGATGAGTATTCCCGAACATGTAATTGTTTTCATGCTGAATCTGTGCATACATCAAGAGACAGATACTCAAACAAAGCAAAAGGATACTTCAGTGATACAAATCAGGAAAGGCATAGGTCAGGGTTATATCCTCTCACTGTACCAAGGACTCAAGATTAGTATGACACAGGACCAAATGTTTCATACTATTGTATGTAGGGATGTTATGAGTTAGAGCCTACTTGATGTCACCTAACAACAACAGTAATACCCATAACTAGACTGAAAAGTGTTTGGAACGCCTTAATTAGATTTATATTCTGGTGCCTGGTTTCTTATCTGGCATATATTGGAATTTGCAATGCCTTCACTATAAGTAGCAAAGCAGAAATTCTGTGCCTTGTGGATTATGGCTCTTGTTAAGTGCCATAGAGTTGAGTATGACCCATAGTGACCCTGTGAACAGCAAATCTGAACCCTATTCTAACAGGTGCCACCCTAACCATCACGACTTACTCAAGCCCACTGAAGCAGTCACTGTGTCAGTTCATCTGGTTGAGCGTCTTCCTTTCACGTTTTATGTTATTGATTCATAGCTTGTTGATTTATATGCTTTTAGGACTCATAGCAATCACATGACAGAGTAAAACAGCCCACTGGATTTTCTAGAGTGCAGTGTTTATAGGTGCATGTGAAAGTTACACAATAAGGAAGATTGAAGAAGAATCAGTGCCTTTGAATTGAGTTTGGTGAAAAATCTTGACTATCTAACAGATTTCCAAATGAATAACCAGAAAGTCTGTCTTGAAATGCAGTCAGAGTGCCCCCTAGTAGCAGGAATGGTTAGGCTTCGTCAGCAAAGGAGAGGAAGGCCCTCAACAAGATCAGTTGATACCATGGCTACAAGCATGGGTTTAGGCCCAGCAGAGGCTGTGAGGATTCTGTTGCACGTTATGTCTGAGTCAGCACCAACCCAACAGCACCCCACACCTGTCTTTACATGAGCAAGTTACTAGGTCTTTTGAGCCACTGGTAGATTTGAATTGTCATCCTTTAATTAGTAGCCAGTGTGCCACCAGGGTTCTTTAAAAGCAAAATTTGAGATGTTTAAAAATCAAGAATCAGGCCAGTATCAAAACTGTTTGTGCCAACAGAAAGAAGCAGGTTAAGTGCCAGGATTCATCAGGGTCAGGACAAGAATGGGCAAGAAGAAGCAACATAGCCAGAGATCAAAAATGGATTATTGAGGTCAGACAGGCACTAGAATTTGTGGGACCCTCCTATGTAATCAAGATAGATGAAATAAAAGATCCTTTGCTCTGATAAAACTTCTCATCTGTTCAGAACTGCATGAATTAAGGATGTGAAACAGCTGTCGGTTGCCACCCTGGCAGCTCTGGCTCTGGCAGTGCATTAGTGCAGTGGAGATGCTGCATAGGACTTTGCAGGATTGTGACTTGGAAACAGATCAAGTGCTTCATTGTTTGCACCATTCTGGAATCAAAACAAATAGTAGCTGATGTACTTAAGTCAGTGTAAAAAGTTGTGTAGCTAGACTTCAATATTAAAAGAATTGATAAAGAAAACTTCACAGTGACCTTGAACATGACTTTGAAGAATGGCTAATGTTTTTGTAGATGGTTAGCAGAGTGAATGTCATTTTAGGAAAGAGGAATATAGTTAAATACTATACATCAGAGAGCTGGACAGTGACTAAGAATCTCATAGAAGAACTGATACCTTTGAGTTGTGGTGCTGGAGAAGAGTCTTGAACATACCATGACTGCTAGGAGAACAAATAGGTGCATCTTGGAGAGAGTGAAATCAGGCTACTCCTTGGAGGCAAGAATTTTGAAGCTCCATCTGACATACTTTGGTGTGTTGCAATGAGGGACCAGTCCTTGGAGAAGGGATACCGTGCTTGGGAGGGTGGAGTGACAGCGTAAGAGAGGAAGACCCTGGATGAGATGGATTGACTCACTGACTAGGGTAATTTGGGTAGATGTGTCAGAGACAATGCAGTTCAGAATAGAGCAAGATTCAGAGCTTGCACAGGGGCAGTATGAGTTGCAGGTAACTCGATGGCATTTTACAGCAACAACAGAGAATGTGTCAGGGTTTAAGGGGTCATAATATATTTGTGAACACTAACTTGCCTATTACCAGGAGGAAGACATGTTTATTTTAAAGTTCATTAGGAGAATGTAGCGTGAGCCAAGAAGTTAAATTTGAATTGATGAAAACAGAACCATATATGACTTTTAAAAGAGTGACCTTATGCATGCTGGATTACAACACTAACTAAGCTTAATTTATACTTGGGAGGCCTTGATTTAATACCCTTTTCATGAACATCTGGAGCAAGTTAGCTGTGTTATGGTAAACTTTCTATCCCTTGGTATTAACAATATTTCTTTCCAAAGTTGTTTTTTATAAATTGGAATATTACTTGACTGTGGAAAGTATTAGCCTTATGAAAAGTTATTGTGCTTTTTCCTTTGGTTTACATCTTACAGATTGTTTTCTTCTTTTAAAGTGTTAGTGATACAGAGTCTGCGGAAACTGAATCCTCAGAGGGTACAGTATCTTTAATGAGGTGAAGTAATTTGATATTTTCTTTATTTTATAAACCTTTAAAATAATGCATGCAGACCTAAATATAATACAGTAAATAACAGACGAATGGTATGATTTAGCAAATACCTCAAAGCCTTACTTGTATTAAGAAATAATTTTATGCTACCCCAAATTTGAAATTCCAAACTTCAGAGACCTGTCTCTGGGATCCGTAGAATAGGTGTACAGATGTTTAATAAATTCTTGCTCTGTCATGTATTGTTATTGTATCCTGTTGAGTTGGAAACAACCCATAGCTGTTCCTTCTGAATGTTTTTAGAGGCATTAAAATCGCACGGAAGTTGATTGCTCATTCTTTCTCCTGTGGAACAGCTGGTGAATTCAAACCACATACCTTTGCGTGGGTAGTGCAATTCCTTACCACTAAACCCACTAGTGCTCCCTCTTGCTCCATCATAGAAACAAGGATATGATAAAAGGGCAGGAAGAGGATATGGTTACATCTTTAATGGTTGTCCCAGAATTCCAATTTTATAAAATTAACTAAAAACAATTCAATCTGATAGTAATGTTATGACACAATATAACATATTCAGAAAATAGAAAATCTACATGTAAGATTTCTAGAGAAAAACTCTGGATTGGGCTGGCTGACTTGTTATAAAGGCAGTTAGTGGAGACAAAGAATTGAGAAGCCAAGGTGTTACATGTGATGCCCATAATAGCACTGTTACCATGAATTCATTGTAATAGCATTTAAGGGCAGAAAAAAATCTTTGAGTGGTGATAAGTGTTTGTGAGTAAGTGAAGAATATGAAGGTAATTTAACTTAGTACCATAAATCCTCTAGGGCCGAGGTTTCTATGAACTCAGGCTCCTATACGTGGCATTTATATGAAGATAAAAAAACAATAGAAACCATTACTGGGACCCTGTGGAGTTCATGGTTACAGTAGTAGATTAAATCATCTTTCCCTCAGAGAGCCACAAAGAAGGGAAGCATCTCTAGGGGAGAGCCTGATTTTAAACTAGGTGAGGGGATGGAGGTAGAGATGAAGGAGGTTGAGAATAGCAGTCCAGAGAACATAGCGAAAGATTTCATCAGGTCAAGAGAGTGTTGACGGAATCCATAGACTATTTTTGGGTTGAACATAAAGATTAAAGGGCCTTCTTTTGGGCGGTGATCTAATTTTACAGGATTGTCAAATAAATATATTTGACATTGTATCTTTTCCAACAGTCTCACGATGCAAAAGAATTTACTTAATTTGAAGCTATAATCAAGTTTGTATCTGCCACCATGTGAAGGAGTTTTGAAATTTCTCTTTTGGGAGTAAATCGTTACACTATAGGAGAGAATGAAACTCACTCTCTTATAGTCTGAGTACTCTCCTTCTTTGAAGGCCAGAAGAATCTTAATTTCTGAGTGCATTAGTAGCCCTGCTTGCATAGTGGTTCAAGAATTCAAATGCTACCATGACAGTCTGTGGGAGAGATAGACAGTCTGTTCCCTTAATGATTAATAGCCTTGAAAACCCATGAGCAGTTAGATTCTACCCTAACAAGGTTGCTATGACTTGAGATCAACTTGATGGCATTGAGTTTATTTGGGGGTTTTGTTGGTTTGGTTTGGTAGAGGGAGGAATTAAGTTAATCTGCCCTGTAAGCAAGGAAAGTACCAGAGGAACCAGGTCAAAATAGAAGAGACTCTTGTTACAGAGATTATGGCACCTGCCCTTTTCCTTTAACTTTGCTAATTTTCTTGACCAATCATAAACTTTGTCATTTTATTCAGGTCTCACAAAAACCTCTTTTTATCAAAGCTTTACCGTGAAAGCCGACTGAACAATTCTGACAAGAGAGAGAAACGAGTGGAAACTGGTCAAAGTGAGTACTGTCAATATACCTTTTTAGAAATACAGAATTGGGTGAGGCTTGAAGGTCATCCAACTGTTGACAACACCACACAAAAATAACTACTTCAGAGGACTGAAGAATGAGAAAATAAAATACATTAGAGTCATAGAGTTAATTAACTGAAGTAATTAAGTGATAAAGTTATTTACAGTCCTTACCATAAAGTACTTTTATTACTATAATACAGAGCTTTAACTATACTCAGTAACTTTAAGTAATAACTTTTCTGACACATAAAGATATAGACTGTTTCCTTTCTTACCTTCTCTATTGTGTGTATAATTTATTATCTTTGTGAAAGACCTTTCCAGATTATGAAGACCTGTTATTTTTTTAAAAGCTTTTGAAAAGACATTTTTAATTCTTTTCAGTTTTACTTTGAATGTTTTTTAGAGATGTATATTTGTTCATCAAAGGAATGTTCTAAGTACTGTGCAAGGGCTTTTAAGTCATGCTGTTTCAACTTTAAATTATTTAAGTTTAAGTCACTGTATGCAGCCGAGTTGGCTCCAGCTCATGGTAGTCATCTAACAGAAAGATGTGCTTGGCTCATTGTTTTAGCAGGTGTGTCAGTCCGCCTCATGGAGAGTTTCCCTCATTTTCATAGACCAGCCATAAAGTCCTTTTCTAGCAGTAAATCTTTTCTGGTGACTTGTCTAAAGTGAGCATGACAAAGTCACCAACTTCTTTCTTTTTTTTTTTTTTGTAACAGAATAAAGCTTTTATTACCTTGTTTCCAAGATGTCATCCATTATAAGAGGCAGAGTTGATTTAAAAACAATATTAGGTAGTGGATTCATCAGTTGTAAGACACATTCTGACTTCAGGATAATGCTCGCTCCCATTTCCCTTTCTAAGGAACCATTCCTGTGTCATCCTTCTAAGACTAGTTTGTGCATTCTTCTTATGTGTTAGTATTTATTTTCAGATAGCACTATAGTTTGAACACAGCAGTTCTTTTGTTTTCCCTTTTCCTGCTTTCCATTCATGAGTCGGGGAAAAGGCTGTGGTGTGAGTCAGCTATCCCTCGAGAGTTATCTTTGCATTTATTTGCCTAATGATTTTTTTTTTAATTTCTAGAATTTATTTATTTTTTTGTTTCATTGTGAAATGAATGAAAGTTTACAAATGCAGTTGGTCTTCCACTCAGTCATTCATACATACACGTTTTATGATAGTAATTAAAGAGTGTAACACACAGTGTAACCACGCTCTTCCAGTTTGCCCACTGATTTGTTGGTTGTTGCTCTCATGGATGCTGATCATTGATTCAAGTGGAATGAAATAATCACTTATCTCCAGTTTCTTCCTACTTGGAGAGCTTTTGTTTTCTTCATAAATACATTGCATACTAAAGATTAAAACTGATCTTATAATCAGTAACTGTTCTAAGTTTCCTTCATTTTCAGCAAGTCCTATTGCTGTATTCTTCTGTTCCATTTCTGAGATTTTTCTCTTAGCATACACACTGACTTCAACAAAGTACTGTTTCATGGTAGTATTCTACTTTAGGTGGAAAAAAGGACATTGGAACATCCAGTAAAAGCAAGACAAGACGTTTCAACAGTCATTCGGTAACTTCAGAAAATCCTCGCTCTAGAAAAAAACAGGTATTTGATTTTTATTACATTAACTAATACTTGTGGATATTACAAGACATAATTTTATTTCAAAATGTTCCTCTTCAACTCTTAAAAAAGTTTGCTCTTTGATTAACTGACTAATATCCCTGTTCATAGTTCTAAGAAAATGCTTCACTGGCATTCTTAAAGTAGGCTTAATTTAGGTATTGATATAAACTCTTTAAAAAAATTATTGTGATACTCTCATAAAGTCAATTAATTAAATGACCAAAAGGTAATAATTAAATGTACAGTATAAGCTTTTTTTCCCTACCGATGTCTTAAAACGTTTTATTTTATATTTGTTTGCATACATACATTATAAGCTTTTCTTTTCAGATCTCCTTCACAGATCAAATTTAAATAAGATTCCTATTTAAGAAAAGAACTTAACAAGCAACAAATGCTGGCGAGGTTGTGGAGAAACTGGAACCCTTTTTCACTGTTATTGGGAGTGTAATAGGGTGCAACCACTGTGGAAGGCGGTATGGCGCTTTCCCAAAAAGTTGCAAATAGAAATACCATTTGACCCAACAGTTCCACTACTGGGAATATACCCCAAAGAGGCCATAAATGACATTCAAGCAGATATATGCATACCCATGTTTATCGCAGCTTTAGTCACAATAACAAGGAATTGGGAACAACCTAAGTGCCCATGAACAAACAGATAGATAAAGAAGCTATGGTATATTCATAGAGTGGACTACTATGCAGCATTGAAAAACAAGAAACTCATGCAATATTATTCAAAATGGGTGACTCTGGAGGACATTATGCTGAGTGAAGTATCTCAGTCACAAAAGGACAAATTCTGCATGGTGCCACTGTTGTAAAACAGGAGGACTGACCTCGGTGTTGCAGGGAGACTGAGAAAGATGGGTTCAATAATGTATACTGCATTGAAACAGATGAGGGAGAAAACTATTTAAAAGGGATATGTGATTAGGTATTTTTGTTATGACAGGAGTCCAGAGCGAAGGCTGCATAGTGGAGTGGACCTGGGGAAGGGATTGTAAAACAATGAAAGAATTTTTCTTTTACTTTTCCAAGAAGGGTAGTTTACTAGGGGGGAGAACTGGGAGGGGAGAAAAGTACAACAGTGAATGAATGCAAATCCAAAGTCTCTCTAAATTTTCATGGAAATTAATAATAAATTTTTAAAAATTTTAAAAAAATAAAAATGTAAGACAAGAATTTTCTTTTAATTTATTTAAACCATATTTTAGTATGTCGGGATGAGCTGCCTGCATAATATTAAAGGATCGCCCACTTTGTGATAGGATTTGTTAAAAGTGAGTATAAAACAAACAGGTGTCCACATCTTGAGCGTGCTGCGGATGATAGATACCAAAGGAAAAGAAGTAACTTTGAAGTCAAAGTGGAAGCTAGAAAAGAAAAAACAAGAAAAATTCATCAGAAGCCAGATGTAAGAAGCATTCTATTTTGTCTTTCCCTTGGGACAGTGAAGACTTTGTTGTCTGGAAGTTCAGCCCAGTCTGGATAGTTTCTGGGAGACAGGTTTTTGATGAGGAGGAGGTCATGGACGAGAACACATTGTTACTCAGCAGAGGTGGAGGAGCCTGCTGCTTCGGCTGCTCGTGCTACCTATTGGCATACTAGCTCAGCTAGAGGTGAAGCTTCTATTCTATGGTCTAGGTGTATGAAGAGAGCATAAACATGAAAGCATCTGAAAGGGACAGAGGAAAGAATAATAGGAGAAAATGGTGAAACATCTGAGAACAGTCTTCTGAATTAAAATATCCTGTCTTCATTCCTTAGCCTCTTCAGATACACCACAAACATTTCCCAGAAAAACCTATTCCCTTCTCTTTGCTCTCATAGGATTTTGTTGGTTCAAGTAGGAGCTCTAGTGGTAAGAAACTTCACTGAAGCCCCAAAGGCACAAGGTTCAAGTCCACCAGCTGCTCTGAGGGAGAAGGAATACAATCTCCTCCTGTGTTACTTACCACCTCTGAAAACCAGCTGGAGGGTCAGTTATGGATTAGATCCAACTCAGTGGCGCTCAGCAATAAATAAAGTATAGCAACTAAAAAAAACAAAACAAAAACCTTAAGTAAGAAAATATCATTTGATGTGGAATTTTTAAATTTAAAATTATTTCTTGAGATATCATAAAATTGTTTGCTATTTAATTATTAACCAGGTATTGCGAATATTTAAGCTGTTGTGCTGTTTATTAGGGAAATAGGTTAGAGAGTGTGAGGGGCAAAGGCTATCATACAGTGCAAGCACAGGATTAATGCAGCAATCCCAAGCCAAATTAACAGCAAGACACGACTCAGTCCAAGTCTAAGTTCAAGTCAGCAGCACAAGATGGAAGAAGCCTGTGGTTTCCTCAGTCATCCAACAAACTTTATTTCTGAGCAGTTATATATCAACTTTGCCTTCAGTCATCCAGCAAATAAAACCTTTAACTCTGGGCCTTTATCTCCAAAGTTCCTCTGGTTACACCTTGCCACAATCTCTCCAACCCCTTCACTGCCGTTTTTTACAGTGTAGAAACCATTCCATTATATTGGTCCCACAGATAATGATTTGCAAGACTGACCATATGTATACAGCTAAGATAGCTGGAGACCATGTCCCCAAACTGGGGCCAAAGCAGTGGCTAGAAAAGCCAGTTTTTAAGGGTTCTGACACCCCAAACCTTGAACTGCAATAATGAAGGATTCTGTGAGCAAAATCTTAAGTGATGTTGGGAGTACTGAAGAGTAACAATGCCAGTCTGAGACTAAGATGTGCCTGATCCAGGCCATGGTCCTCTCAGTTATTTGCTATGTGTCAGAGAGCTGGATAGTGACTAATGGTGATAGAAGAGGAATCAATGCCTTTGAGTTGTGGTGCTGGAGAAGAGTTTTGAACATACCATGAACTGACAAGAGAACAAACAGGTCTGAGATTGGCTCAAGATAGGGCAAGACCCTATTGTACATAGGGTCACTGTGAGTTGCAGGAGACTTGATAGCACATAACAACAACAAAGAAGATGGAAGGAATACACAAGAGTCACTGTACCCAAAGAATTGGTGGACATAGAACCAAGAAGTAGCATTTGATTAAGAACTGGTAATGAAGGAAGAAATTCAAGCTGTACTGAAGGTATTGGCAAAAAGTAAGGCTCTTGAAATTGGTGGAATACCACTTGACACATTTCAAGAAAAAATACAACCCTTTATGGGCTCAGTAGTCTTATGCCAAGAAATTTGGAAGAGAGTACCTGGCCATCTGACGGGAAGATACTTATATTTGTTCTCATTCCCTAAAAAGGTGATCCAACAGTATGTGGAAATTATCTAATAATATCATTAGTGTCATTTGCAAATAAAATCTTGCTGAAAATTAGGAAAAAAACATCTGGCACAGTACTTTGTTAAGGACTTGCCAGAAATTCAAGCTGGATTCAGAAAAAGCTGTGGCACCAGAGACATTGTTGACTTCAGAGGGATCTTCTCCAGAAGCAGAGAAGACCAGAAAGATGTTTACTTGTATTTTATTTACTAGGTAGGCAAAGATATTGGACTGTGTGGATCATAACAATTTATGTAAATTTATGTAACATGGAAAAAAATGAAATCCCAGTTCACTTAATTGTGCTTGTGTAAAACCTAGACTAAGATGCTATTGTACGAACAGTGTAAGGGAATATTGCATGACCTAAATTAAGAATGGTGCGTGTCAGGTTTGTATCCTTTTTCTTTGTATCTTTCCAATCTATATGCTGAGCACGTTCAAGCAGCTGCCTGAGTTTGGCAGATGATAGACACAGCCTTGTTTGCAGGAAGTGAGGTCTTGAAGCACTGGATGAAGAAGATCAAAGGTTATATATAGCCTTCAGTATGGATTACTTCTAAACATTAAGAAAACTAAATTCTTTACCACTGCATGATAGGTAGAGAAAAGATTGATAGCAAGTATTTCGTCTTACTTGGATCAGCAATCAACACCTGGGGAAGCAGAAGTCAGTAAATTAAAAAGCATATTTACATTGGGAAAATCTTTTGTCATGCACCTGTCCAAAATGCTGAAGAGCAGTGATGTCAGTTTAAAGACTAAGGTGCACCAGCACATATAAGCCATAATATTTTCAGTTGCTTATATGCATCTGAATATTGACGTACTAGGTATTGGTGAAGTGAGATGGCTTGGAATCCTTAAGGATGCTTTGGGCAGAATAGTAAATGATCCGGGAACCATTAAAAGAAGATGGAAGGAGTATACAGAGTTACTGTACCAAAATGAATTGACTGACACAGAAGAATTTAATGAAACAACTTATGAGCAAGAGCCTTTGGTGATAGAACAAGTTCCAACTGTTCTGAAAGAATTGTCAAAAACCAAGGCCCTAGGAATTGATGGCCTAACAATTGACATATTTCAGCAAACAGACACTGACCTGGATGTGCTCACTAAGTTGTGCCAAGAAATCTGGAGGACAGCCACCTGGCCAACAAACAGGAAGAGATCTATATTTACTCCTATTCCAAAGAAAGATAACCCAACAGAGTGTAGAAATTATTGAACAATATCATTAATATCACATGCTAGCAAGATTCTGCTGAAAATTACCCCAAAATGACTGGATCCATATATCAGCAGAGAACTGCTGGATGTGCAGGCTGGGTTTAGAAGAGGCTCTAGTACTAGAGATATTAGAGCTAATATGAGATGGATCTTGGCTGAAAGCAAGAGAGTACCAGAGGAATGTCTGTGTTTCATTGATTGTGCAAAGGTGTTTGTGTGGGTCACAACAAACTGTGGCTGACTCTGAGAAGCATGGGAACCCCAGAATATTTGATTGTGCTTATGCGAAACCTATACTTGGACAAGGAAGTAGTTATCAGAATAGAACAAGGAGGCATTGCATGGTTCAAAACTGCGGAGGATGTACGCAGGGATGTATCCATTTCAATTTATATGCAGAACAGATCATCCAAGAGATTGGGCTGTATTAGGAGGAATTTGGC